ACTGCCCGGGGAAGAGGTGGAAATGGGAGAGGAACTGGAGAAGTAGAGGGGGCAAAGGGAACCTAATTCCGCCTTCTATGATGGCTTTGGTATAAAAGGGTATTGCATCCTCGGTACCGAGGGTACGAGGGTGCACAGTCGGGTTATAATCCTCTATGTCTATATACGGGGGAACGCTGTACTTAACCCTAAATCTATTAATTTGCTCACCACCTTTTACTTTATACTTCCCTGGCCTCGAAGAACTGTCCTGAGGATTCTCGAGGGCAGGGCGACGACGAGGCAGCTCCAAAAAGTGATAAAAAATGGAGGGGGTCTTTTCCACGAAGATCCCCAAGGAGGCTTCCCTAGGATTGGTCGCTGAATGGCAACCAGAAAACACCTCCCATTATCGAAAAACCAAAAGAGACAGAAGGGCAAAGAGAGGGAAGATACTGGGACTCACCAGAATGTAAAAAGAAGTTTTTTCTGGAAAACTTGAATCGACTCCTTCCAGAATGTTCAGAAGCAAGGATGAGTCTTCTGGCCTTAAAACTTTAGTGAAAAGGTTGGGTAGTGACAACGGAAGGAAAGAGGTCTCCGGCGAAGATTCAGGCAAGGGCTCTCTGGAGAAATTCGAAATGACAAAGTGAGAAAAGAGGAGAGGAAGCCCATTTATATATAGTACCAATCCCATCATTAGGCTCGAAGCACGAAAAAGGCGCATTTAATGCGCACGACGTCCTAAGTAGGGGAAAACGGCTAGGGGCAATGATGAAGCAGTTGGGGTTGTTGCAAAACCCTTCGTCTCCTTACAACGCGTGTCCTCGGTGTCAGAAGATCGAAGGCTGGGGGCAGTTGATGGGACATTTTCGAAATACTCCAAGATGAAGACATGTGTCCTCGGTGTCACTAATCCTTGTTATTGAGATCACATACCCATCGGTTCACAAGTCCTTCTCCCCCGAGATACTTATCATAGGGATCAAGTGGCATCCAGTACGTTTACGTACCGACACGTATCCTTCGGTCTGATATGGTACATCGGTCGCTATATGCACCTCCCCCCTCTGCTCCGAGATGTACCAAACCCCCTCGGTGCCGATATGTACCAACGTCCAGGATGACATTCTCTTCTCCTGCAGAGCTACTGATGTACAGNAAAAACCAAAAGAGACAGAAGGGCAAAGAGAGGGAAGATACTGGGACTCACCAGAATGTAAAAAGAAGTTTTTTCTGGAAAACTTGAATCGACTCCTTCCAGAATGTTCAGAAGCAAGGATGAGTCTTCTGGCCTTAAAACTTTAGTGAAAAGGTTGGGTAGTGACAACGGAAGGAAAGAGGTCTCCGGCGAAGATTCAGGCAAGGGCTCTCTGGAGAAATTCGAAATGACAAAGTGAGAAAAGAGGAGAGGAAGCCCATTTATATATAGTACCAATCCCATCATTAGGCTCGAAGCACGAAAAAGGCGCATTTAATGCGCACGACGTCCTAAGTAGGGGAAAACGGCTAGGGGCAATGATGAAGCAGTTGGGGTTGTTGCAAAACCCTTCGTCTCCTTACAACGCGTGTCCTCGGTGTCAGAAGATCGAAGGCTGGGGGCAGTTGATGGGACATTTTCGAAATACTCCAAGATGAAGACATGTGTCCTCGGTGTCACTAATCCTTGTTATTGAGATCACATACCCATCGGTTCACAAGTCCTTCTCCCCCGAGATACTTATCATAGGGATCAAGTGGCATCCAGTACGTTTACGTACCGACACGTATCCTTCGGTCTGATATGGTACATCGGTCGCTATATGCACCTCCCCCCTCTGCTCCGAGATGTACCAAACCCCCTCGGTGCCGATATGTACCAACGTCCAGGATGACATTCTCTTCTCCTGCAGAGCTACTGATGTACAGGTCACTAGCCTAGGCTAGGCTAGGTTAGCTATCATGACCTCGTCTTACACAATTAGTGTCAGAAGGCACAGGAAGGTAGGGGCCACAGCCAATGGGGAATGGACGCGTGGCATATTGTGTCACATCAGAGACAGAAAGACCGCATGCCCTTGCTGACACACGACTTGGGAAAACAAGCATTTAATTACACAATTCCCTTGATGAGACTGCATTCAATGCGGTAAGGCTCAGAAGTGAAAGGCAATAAATGTCTCTAAGGCTAGACATTTATTGCATCCTCTCCGAGAGGAGCTCATTGAACAGTCGGTAGCCCGATAACACAGCATTGGTTGCTCGGGATTCCGAGCAGTTAAAAGAGAAGACATTCCTTGTAGGAATCAGTGCGCACGTTGCCTGTATCTAATGATCACCTACTGACCACATTGACAGCAATCATGAGTATTTGAGGTATAAATACTCCTCGCAAAAGGCAAAAAGGGAGGCAACGAAAAACCTTTCCTACAATACATACTCAGTATTTTCTTCTTCCTCTCTCTCAAAAACTGACTTGACCGTCGGAGGAGATACGCCGAAAAACACTCCGGCGCCCTTCTAACTTGTCTTTCTTTATTCCAGGAATCTTCCTTAGCCTTACTGGATCGTTCCGTTGATCCACAAGGGTCTCCCATTACCATTTCAGGTTACCACTGAACCTCGCAGGCTGTTCCAAGCAGCAGGGTTGACCATTCGACCGACTCACTCAAGTTCACCAAGGGAGAGATCTGTTCTCGTGTTTATATTGTGCAAGATCCAGCACGCACAGAAACTATGACTTCGTTTGCTTTATGGTTGATCATTTTTTTTTTATATAGAAAAAACAAAGCTTTCATTTCATAGAAAGTATATAAAGTACATAAATGGTGGACATGAAATTCACCAAAAAAAAAAACAAGATACAAATATAAAACAAAACAAAATTAACTAGATGCGGCTTTCCACTTATGTTGTAAAAACCAAAAAAGAGGTGTCTCTAAATTCTGAACTCATTTGAAACCACCACCCAAATATATGATAAAACTTCAGTTTATTAGATAACATCTCTTTTGCCTCCTCCTTACCTCCAAAGATTCTATAACTACGAAGCACATACACTCTCGTGAAGGTAATGTATTCGTGTGTTGGACATTCACACTTTTCGGATACTTTTGGACATGTGTTAAATACTCTTTTATTCGTGCCCGTAATTAAATGATAAAAATTTAATTTTAGACATGTGTTCGACAATTCTTTAGTTTGTGTTTGACACTTCTTTAGACCATGTCTAACATGTATTGACAAGTGATTAACAAAACTTAAATTTTGACAATAAGTATCTTATGTTATGGCATAAATCATAGTTGTTAAATCGCGTATCGGAAGGTGTATCATTTTTCAAAAATAATGTATCGTAAAATATGACGCAATTTTAAATAATTATTAATAAAATACATATACATTTGTAAAAAAGTCATAGGCTCGTAATAACATAGCATTTTATTAATATTCTACCAACTACTCAAGTTCCCAACATAGTTCACTAATATCAAAATGCAAAGACCTCTAATTCAAACTTCTAAATAGTTATAACTAATTCAAACATTCGAAGCTCTCTCACAAATCCAGATGAAGAACTTCACAAATCTAGAGGAAGAAGAACAACTGTCAATTGGAGTTGCAGTTGATGGCTTCTCCCTTCTCCTCTTTTGGTGGACAGCTTCCCTAGAGGAAGAAGAACGAACGTCGTTTCATTGGCTATACGATTAAAACATAAGTCTTGGGTGAAATGCCCTTGTTTCAACCAAAAATAAAATAAAAGTGTAAACAGATTCATATATAATCTCGTATGTATCGAACGATACGTATCGTATCGTATCTTGTATAGTACAATACGATATAAAAATAATACAGAGATACGATTCGTACAATACGATACAAAAACAATACAGAGACAAGATTCTTATCTTTTTTCTTGTGTATCATGATGTATCGTACAATACTAATAATTATGAACATAACATATAATTATCAAGATTAGATATATTAAAATTATACTCAAAACATAATAATTAAAGTAAAAGATACATAAAAGTTTTTAAAAAGAGAAATTGAGAAAATAATACAATCATTTAAATTATATATGTTGGGTACACAATGTCTAAAAATAATTCATGATTATTAACTTTTACGATGCGTTATTCTGAAAATTCACACTAGATAACTAGAGACAACAATTACTTATCATACAATACTCATTTCTTATGAATAATATATCATTATCACTGTATTTTTGTGATAAATTATATAAATTTATATATTAAACACAATTATTTATAGTGTATCCCCAATGTGTAAGTGTCCTTTTTTTTTTTTTTTGAGAAATATCGTCTCTACGTGTCCATGTCGAATGTTAGTTCTACATTTTATGTCCATCCACATCATCTAAATAATGGCCATATATGCTCATCTCCAGAACAACGATGCTTTTTTTCCACTCTCCAAACCTTTGAAAGCACACTGCAGATAGGGACACACAATTGCAATGTATGACCCACATCAATTCTGCCTCCCACGATTGCTTATGCCACAGATACACAGCAATGAGACAATGAAAGAACAAATAATCAACACTTTCACTACTTTCTTTACACAAAATACACTAATTAGGGGAAAGATATATGTTGATCCTTTGTAATTATGATAAAAAGAGGTGTACAAACTCTACATGAGTTGGATGACATGAGAAGTTATAAAAGCCGAGTTCTCTTTCAAAGCCAACTGCTTTTTGCATTTCACTTTCCAGTACAAAAACTTGGAACTTAAAAGAGTTGTATGTAATATAAATGCATTGGCCTAATCATCATTTGAGTTATATTTCGGAAAATTGCTCTCGATTTTTATCTCTATAGACATACGATCTGTTTACTTTTGTCTGTTTACACCCCCCTCTCTCATAATGATAATATTTGACTGCTAGCCAATTGACGAGCTTTTTGTTGCATCTGTTCATCTATTTGTTTAAACTAGGGCAATTTCCTAAAAGGTCAAAGATCGATAGATTGCTCATGTGCTGATGGGTTTTCACGGGCCTGACCCATATGATCCTTGAGGGTTATTTTGTCTTCTCTCCAGAATTCTTTAAGAAGAAGACTCCCTGTTACCTCACAGAAGTTTGTAAGTTCTCCTTCTGCTTTAACTTTCATCCAGGCTACAACCACTAATACTCTATCGGATTATGTAAAAATTTTGATTGTGTGTCTAAATGAAATTGGAAGTGAAAGAATACAGCAAAGGTGATTCAAGATATGCAGCAAAAGAATCTGGAATTGTTGCTGTTGAAGGAATCACTGCTGTTTTAGAGGGTCCAGCTAGTCTTCTAGCAGCGTATGTAAATTTAATGTGGCATGCCGTTGATTTTAAGCAATAATAAGTATCTTGCTGTTAGCGGTAGCTTGAGCATAGATGTATGTTGACTAGCTTTTAATCACAACTCCTTTTCAGTCTTAATCTATCTTGACTATTACCCCCTGGCAGGTATGCTATTGCCACAAAAAAGCCATATAGCTGCTTACTTCAAGCAGCTATTTCTCTGGCACAGCTTTATGGAACTGCTGTATATTTCATTACTTCTTACTTGGATGGGAATGACTTTGCTGCAAGCTTGTATTATTATTATCCATACTACATCATAGCAAATTCTTTTTGGGTTGTAATACCCACACTTGTCGTAATCCGCTGCTGGGAGAAGACATGTGCAGCATTCCAGATTCAAGATCAGAAAAAGACCAAAATTCGTTGAGGTTGGATCCAGATTTTTGTTTCAAGGACTGGATGGTTTTAATTCTGTGAGTTGTTGTGTTTTGATTTATGCTTTGTATTGATTGTGTCTGGATTGATCATCCTCCAGTGACATCAACATTGGTATGGGAAAAAGACCATATTTGAATGTGTCTATCTGTATCCGGAATTTTGCACAAGAGGATTGTTTACTTGATGAGTTTGTTTAAGTGGAACCGATTGCCTACTATTATTTGTTACCCCGTTTCCCTCCCCTTTTTTTTTTTAATTGTTGGGGTGGAAAAGAGTAGGAGGATATCTTGGGGGTGATGGTTTCCCTTGTTTTGTCAAAAATCTTTCTATGACTTGATTATAACTGATATGATTTGTTTTATTTCGGTCCTTTTTGATGTGATATGCGATATTGAGCGGGCATAGGTGCACTACAAAGTCATCAGATACACGGAGCAACAAGGGTCCTTGTGCGTGGAACTTCAAAACATAAATTCATTCTTGAAGTTGCAGGATGAGACTTCTTTTCTTCGACACGTAATCAGCATGTGTCCTCTTTATGGTGAAAAAGGCAGCCCAGTTCCAGTGCACAGCAGCACAAGGCTTCCACTCCCATGGGGTATGGGAAGGTTGAATATATGCGGTTGTAGTTTACCCCCTCATACAAAGAGGTTGTTGCTGTTTACTGCTGCATCAAGACTCATATTCAAACACGAAATTGACAGTTGCCAATAAATACTTTATTTTTCAGTAATTGCTTAGATTTTGAGTGTGATTGTTTTCTTTAACAGTCAGTGTTAGATATATTTTTTATTGGAATAGACCTGGTAGTTTGGAATGTTGTTTAAAGAACTTGAATCTTAGCAAAGCGACAGGTCCTTTTGTGAGTAATGCTCAAAACTGGAAGCAGTGCTTTTATTTGTCATTGCAATGTATTTGCACAATTGGGGGACGGGAAGGGAGAGGGGAATCGAACCCTGCATCCTCCACTAACATTCTTCCTGTTGGCAGGTAGACGCTTGGCCAATTGAGATAGATCTACAGGAATTTTAAAAGCAGTGTTTTAAAGCTTTTTTTTTTTTTTTGGACATCGTATCTTGAAGCTTGGCATGATACAAAAAGAATGCATGACATGTTGGTCAAATTGTGCACCAAAGTCCACCAAAAAAAGGAGGGGATCAGGAGTTTACTTGTGACAAAGGGAAGTTATCGCAACCAGAATTGCCATGTAGGTATGGATGGTAGTCATGTAAGTGCTTGTCAAGATTGATTTGGTGCTCTTATTTTTGTCATGCAATTAATTGGGTATTCTAAAAGACACGACTACTTCCTTATTTACTACAAAAGAGAACAAAAAGTGCTACAAAAGAGAACAAAGGTTAGAAAATGACCAGATATTTAGTTTAACTTTCAAAATGAACTAGTTGAGTTGGTCCTCACTAGCTGTTTTTATTTTGTGTACGATTTTTATTGTTATGCTATATTATTTGGTTTTGTGTTGTGACATTGGTCAGGTTCACTGTGTTTTGCATGTGTTATATATTTTCTGCCGTAAGTTTTGCCTCTATCAACGAAGTTGCAGTCTTCCATAAGAAAAACCAGAAACAGAGGTCATTTGAAAGTTTAGACAGATGAAGGGGGACGTCTAAGACCATTTAGCTTGACCTATTTGGTGGGCAATAATCAATGATTATGTACTTGTTTTTGTGAGCGCTGGCTATAGGAATAGGAATTGAATTGCGCAATATCTATAGGTAGGTTACTATGTAACTAACATGGGCCAATTCGCTTCCGGGGCGAATCAAGGATCAGATGATAATTAAGTTTGTGGGGGGCATTCTATGAGAGCAAGTCTGAATTGCATTCCTCCTATAGGCATTATGGAACGCTAAAACCATTTCCAGGGAGGCAAATTGACGCGTCCACACAGAAACAGATGCATAGTTAGGCTTTTTTTTTTTT